GTGTGTGTGTGTGTGTGTGTGTGTGTGTGTGTGTGTGTGTGCGTGCGTGCGTGCGTGCGTGCGTCCGTGCGCGTGCATTCACAAATGATTCCATTCGACTTCAGGTGTCACCTCGTTCACCCCTCGCTATCTACCACTGCACCACACGTGCCGGCCCGCATCCATTCGTCCCTGTGTGCGCAGGTGCCGCGCGGCCGGCTGCAGTCTGATGTGATGCTTGAGGCGGTGCAGAACCACGGCCCAGACGTCGTGGTGGTGGATGAGATCGGCTCTGCCGCGGTGAGCACGGGGCAGTGTATGTGTCAGACGCATTCCTGGTGCTGATTGCACCAAGATGCGTGCAGCGGCGAGGTGTCAGAGCTTGCATTGGTATAATGCAGCTGAGTAGCTGCGGCCTGAGAGGCCAGGGGCAGGCTACCAGGGGGGGTGGGGCTCCCCAGGGAAGCATGCTGTGGGGCGTCAAGCTAAAGCGGAGATAGGTGCCGTAGGGCAGGGCATGCGGCTTGCTTCTCTGTTAACGGGATGCGCACGAGCCCAGAGCCTGGAAACTTTGTCCCAGCCTCTCACCGGGCAATGCGCGCCCCATCCACCGGCCCGACTCTCCTCTGCTCTGCAGGAGGCCGCCGCCGCCCGCCAGATCGCGCAGCGCGGCGTCATGCTCGTCGCCACCGCCCACGGCACCGTCCTGTCGGACGTGCTGCGCAACCCCGACCTGTCCCGCCTCGCGGGCGGCGTCGCCGCGGTGACGCTGGGGGACGCGGCGGCGTCGGCGGCGACCGGCGGCGCCAAGACGCGCGCCGAGCGCGCGGGGCCGCCGGTGTTTCAGGTGCTGGTCGAGCTCCAGGGCGCCGCCAGGTGGCGCGTGCACCTGTCGGTGGCGGCGAGCGTCGACAAGCTGCTGGCAGGCGGCGCAGCGGACGCGCACGTGCGGTCTTGGAGCCTCGCGAGCGCGACGGCTGCGCCGGCGGCGGCGGCGGCGGCGGTGGGTGCAGCGGCCGCCGGCGGGGAGGGGGGCATTCTGGTGGAGTTTGAGACGACCGAGGCGGCCAGGCGGGCGGCGGCGATGGCGTCAGAGCTCTCGGCCGCAGCTGGTGGCGGGGGCGGCAGTAATAGGGATGGCGGGGACGCCGCCGGGGTCGTGGCCGCTGCTGAGGGGCGGGGGCAGTTCGAGGGCGGCTGGCTGGTGCGGCTGCTGCAGCAGGCGTCGGCATGCGCGGCCGGTGATGCGGTTGTGGGTGTCTCATCCTTCAAAACCTCTTGAACGTATGGCTCTTGTTTTAGCAAGGCCAGAGCTGTAATTCTAGGGCAGCAGCGATGTCGAGATCCTCGAGTACATAAGCCACCTCAGGAGGGGTGGCACCTGGTGACCCTGAAAGGCAGCATACTGAGAGCAAGCGCGTGGGACAGCGGTACGCGTGGGCGTCACACGCAGCAACAGGCTTGGCTGTGTCGGTGGCGCAAGGCAGACACACGCTGCCCATGTCCGGGTTGTTTACTGTGGGCAAGGTCCGTCATCCCCGACTGCTTCTGCAGCGTGCCAGATCTGCTCTCCTGCTTGGAGGGATGTTGGGGGACACACTGCTCTCCGTTCACACATTTCAGTCCCAGGTGGCGCCCACGACCCAGTCGTAGGCGACAAGGTTCCTATATGGATTGCCCATGTCAATCTGCTCCGATCCAGCGCCACGCACCGCGTCCCGGCCGGTCCCGCGTCCGTGGTGCGTGCAGGTTGTCGGGCCCTGTGGAGCTTGCGTTTGCTGGTGAGGAGCGGATTGACCAGGGCTTTGACATTGCTTCCTTGTCTATCAATGATAAAACTCGCAACCAATCGCATCTTAATTTTTGTTGCCTCTGAGGTGTCTACAATGGCGTTGTTGCACCCTGCAAATGAGCACCCTGCAGACTGACTCATTCACACCTCAGCTGGGTCAGTGACTAATCATTGTGCAGCTTCGTACAGATGCTTAGCTGCCCTCATATTCAAGTGTTGTTGTAATGCGGCGCATACCAGTGATATCAGGACATCAACGCTCAAGATCACCTCACAGATCACGTCGCTGACCCGTCAAGCCTGCAGCCCGTCTTACGTGCCAAAGGCGCTGCTAAAGATGTCGTACCGTGGTCGCAGTGACTTCTCGGAGGGCGTCAACTCCCAGGGTGAGGGAACGAGGCCGGTGCGCTTTGGCCGAAGACTCGACAGTCGCATGACGCGACGGGTGCAGACCCCTTCCCACACTGCCTGATGTCGGTTGGCACGCGAATCCCAGGAGACACTTGGCAGCCGGGTTATGGGCCTGGGAGTGTGGCGCTGTGCCGCTGGGGCACCAAGCACTCTAGGCGCTGTGCGCTGCCGTGCCCCGGTTACTACAGGGCGACTCGCAAATGCCCCACACAGCAAGCTCGAAAGCCTCTCAACCTTGCAGCTCCACCCCTGCGCACCCACTGCCCTCACTCTTCGCGCCCCGCTTGCCGCGCGCCATGGGACCCACCGCCTCCCCCCACACCGCGCATGTGCACCCTCAGGCAACTACTACCAGCACCGCGGCGAGGGCGCCGCCCCGGGTGGCTCCTACTACTACAGCAACAACAACGGCTCATACTACTGTGAGTTCGCCGCCCTGGCTTCCCCTCTGGGACACGGGCTGAAAACGGCGCCAGTTACTCGCTGAGCTCCCCGGCTCTCTCGACCAGCTGATTCATCCGTCATGTCTGCCTTGCGAGGCAGCAAATCGTGCCTATTTACCCCCCCTGACCCCGGCCCTCTCCTTCCCCCCAAATACCACGTGCAGACCAGAACCCAAACGGGTCAACCTACCATGGATTGGGGGAGGGGCGCGGCGGCGTCTACACCGCGCCCGGCCAGACGCAGGGGGAGTACCGCGCCCCCAGCGCCCCCAAGTCAGGAAAGTGAGAATGCGTACGCCCAGGGCGCCCGCTGGGGCTACTGCCTGTTCCATGCCCGGCCCCAAGGTGGCCCCGCCTGGCGCGCGGGCCGTGTATGATCGTTGAGCGGGCTTGGGCAGCAAAGCAGGTGCGGTATCGCCCGAAACCCCAAGCCTTTGGCCTGTTGAAGCACGCACGTGGTAGACACATCGCTGTACGTGTATCCTTGCTGATGTCGGATAAGCATAAACAGCATGGTTTGATGGCTTGAGCTTGTGCAGTACTTTTGATTGGGTATATGGCCACCGTTGAGCAATCAGGCCCTGCATTCGATCGTGCACACAAAGTGGAGATGTGCATCCGACCCCTGCAGTGTAAAACATAACACTGTGAATCAGAAGGCACACCTGCATGGCAAGGTGCACAGGGGGCACTCAGCAGGTCCTCAAGCAGGGGCGGTGCGTTGGAATCTCAGCACGAGCGAGGCGCGCAGCCGGCGCCAGCAGCGGCATCAGCGCGGGACGGCGCGTGTGTCAGAGGGCGGGCATGATCAGACGAACTCGTGCGGTCATGGTGGGCGCAGGGTACTCTGGCGCCCCACTTGCGGCCGACTTCTAGCACGGCCGACTTCCACATATGCCCAAATCTCAGCAGGCCGCTTCGCGCATCAGTCAGCGCAGCCCATAATGTATGATGACAGCACCCGAGTTGGTCATGCGCACAAGGTTTTCCTGGTCAGCCACAGCTTGGCATGCATCGCACCCTGGTTGCACATGCACCCTCGGGTGCCAGTTGCTGTGCAGTGCTGTGGCACTGGTGTGATGCGCTCGACATGCTCAACTGCTAGGGTGCAGCATACACACCTTGCATTTACACAAAACCAATATCCGGTCCGCAGCATTCCATCCGCTTTGTTTGATACAAAAATATCTCACCGAGAGATCGCCGATCATGTCTCAGCAAGGCGGCCACTTCCGCGACCACCCGGACTTCCAGGAGGGCTACAATCGCCAAGGTTCGCGGGCTGTCCTGCTTCGCACTGGCACGGGCACAGCAACCTGCGCGCCCCTGCGCACGACAACGCTCCTGTCATTGCAGGCCGCGATTGCACCGCACGCACGCCGAGCAAGCTTCCACCACCATGAAATCATCCGCTGCAGCGGCGCGCCCTCATTACTGCACCTTGGACGACCTTGGCAGGCGGTCCACCTGTGCACCTGATGATCGCTCCCTCCTTCCGGCCCTGCAGCTGAACCAACCGCCGCGCATTGGCCCCTGCAACGTGCGCCCCACTCCCAGGCGACTAGTGGCAGCATAGGGGGCCCGGGGCCGCGAACGGCGGATCTTACTACTACAACGTGAGTCCCCCATCCCAGAAGCTGCCTTGGCGGTGCGAGCTTGGCGTCGTTGCACCTCTAGCAGCCACCAGCAGCCTGCCTGCCCCTGCTGACCTGCCCTTCCCTCCCGGCAAACTCCTGCCCCCCGACTGCGCCGCAGCACCCCGACGGCACCTACTTTTGTGAGCGCCGACGGCCGCGCCTGCCCGCCTGCCTGGCGCGTCGATGGGGCGCCACCGCAGGGCTAGGGGCCACCCCGGCCGCCAGCAGCCGCCTGGTCCGCGTGACCTGCCACCACCTGCCGCCATCCCCTTGATCCCCCTGCAGCAGCCCGCTCTCAAAGCATTGCGTGTCGACTGCCACCTGCCTGCTCCGCTTGCAGACCAAAACGAGAACGGCTCGCGCTACTATGGGCTCGGCGAGGGCCGGGGCGGCATCTACACACGGCCCGGTGCAACGCGCGGCGAGTACCGGCCGCCGAAGCCGCAGAAGTGACGCGGGGCGCGCGTGGAGCGCCCCCCCAGGACCCCTTTGCAAAGGCTTTGGCCGGCCAGCTGCACGGGCGTATGGGAGCGGGCCGAGTGCACAGGGTGTTGACTCTGTCCCGCTGGCGCCGCCCGGGCGCTCGTCACTCGTTGCGCGCAACCTGCGGAGGCAGGTTCAGGCGCGGGGCCGCGGTGCAGAGGGGCGGCCAGGTCCCACCACGCATGCAAGCCGGACAGCCGCTTGTAGCCCCTGCCTTTGCCCCTGAGTCTGGGCTATGGCCCTCCCTGATTGGATGTGTTGCACCTACCTCCCTGCATCGCCCTCTGCGTGTTGATCACACGAGGGCCCTCCTGTCGCACATACAAACTGCACAAATGGCGCTGAGCGCTCTTTCGCTCATCACCGCCCAACACACATATCGGCCCCTGGCCCGTTGATTACTGCCTTGGACCAGCATCGGGCACGCGCGAGCCTGTCGCACGACAGCACACAGCAAGTGCGGCGCGCGTTCACCCTGTATGGCTTGGCGCGAACACTGGACCATGCCGTGCAGTGGGTGTCTGCAGCCCCCCACCCATCCCTCCCCTCAGCAGACAGGCCAAAGGGCGACACCGCTTTGCAGTCACACCGTTTATTTAGTTGCTGCAACCAACTTGCTACCGTGTGAAACCGGATTACTCTTCATGCGCCAGGGATGCAATGGCCATGCTCCTCCAGCCGTGCGCTGGCATCACAGCCGCGGGTCGCCGGGTGATAAATGGAGAGAGCAGGCATTGGTGAGTCGAGTAGAACTTGGGGAGCGTTTTTTAGCGGGCGCTCGGGGCCGGAGACCGAGCCCAGGCCCATGCCATGAATGGAGATGGGCGTGGGCCGGACGACGCGGCGGCGGACAGCGGGGGCCACAAAGGTTGTGTTGCATCGGCGAATAGCACCAACTCAGCACTCCTTCCCCCGACGCGCAATGTTGGACGGGAAATGCGGCAGCAATGACCAAAAAACAGGATAAAGGTTGAACGCAGTGCCGTGGTGAGGGCGCTGCGGGGGTCCGGGAAGCAGAACAACGCCGTCGGCGCAACGGGCCTGGGCTGCGCAGTATCCAGACACCAGTTCGACTTCCTCCAAATTCATGCCGGGCAGCGCGGCCAGCAGTGCGGCTCAGCGCGCCTGATCTGACCTATGCTTGCACACGGAGCGACACGCGGCGCCGTTCGCAGCCCCGCACATTTGGGCCGAGCTGCGGCGGCAGCCTCAACAAACAGCGCTGAGCCTTGCCCCGCACCGCAGACGTGCGACAGGGGCGGCTGGCCGCACGACTACACATCTGCATCTTTAGCTTGCCAAGCTGCTAGAGCCAATCCACAACAATCAGTGACACACACACACACACGCACACACACACACACACACACACACACACACACACACACACACACACACACACACAAGAGCCTCAAATACAGCGGATAGAAAACGCATGTGCCCCCGACGAACATGGCTATGTATGCGCGCAAAGCGCCTGGTGTTGGCGGCGCAACAGGGGGGGGGGGCATCATAAGCAGCCCTGAAACAGCAAACAACACGAAAATGCACACGCACAGGCGGCTCGGTGACGCAGGCGTGGCGTTGCTCGCCGGGCGTTGCAGGGTGATGCTCGTCCAAGCCTCGGGATTGGTGCGGCGCGCGCCCGTGTGGAGGCCCCCACATGCAACCAAGCATCAAAACATCCAGTTCTTGATGAAAGGAAGGCATTGTGGGGGTGGGGGCCGGCGCTTGCAGCGAGAGTTGCCTAATCCGTGGGCCGCAGCCGCGTGCAGAACGACTGCGACCGGGCCGAGCTTCAGAGCAGAATACAGAGACACACGCGCGGCCCTGCGCGGCGCCGGTGCTGGCCCCTGCGCCCCGTTGTGACTCAGACCCCCTGTTCCGCGCTGTGGGGCACGGGCCCTTCGCCTCGGGCCGCGCCACCGCAGCGCCCACGCCACGCCCAAACCCAATGCAACATGAAAAAGTGTGTTTTTGAGACCCGCGGCGCCGGGGGCCTGCAGCAGCCCCGGGCACAGCACCGCGTGCCACGACGTCGAAATGTGAGCCCTCCACCCCTCATCAACAACCGCCATCAATAACGCCCGCTTCCCTCGCACCGCGGCGCCGCTGGCAGCGGCCCGGCGCGTGCGCATGCGCAATGTAGTGTCCAGCGCCTGCAAGCATCGACCTCCGCGCCCCTCAATCGTCGCTGAATCGGGCTGCGGCTCCTCGCCGCCCCTTGCAGCAGCCGGGCGCACGCCTGTCACCTCAAGCACGCACCAGGGCGCAGGCCCCCGTGCGCCTTTCTAGCAACCACCCGCGCCGCGGCCCCGCCGCCGCCGCCGCCACCGCCGCCGCCGGGACCGCGCCCACGAAAGCGCGCCCGCGTGGCGGGGCGATGCGGGCCGACTGCACTTCAGTCATTCCTGGCGCTGCTGATCGCCTCCTGCATGCTGAAGGACGCGGCCCCCGCGCCCCCGCCCTCGACAGCCACGTACACATCACTCACGTCCGCCGCGCGGCGCGCGCGGCGCCGCATGTGGCTGAACAGCGGGCGGTGGTAGAAGCCGCCACACTCTGAGCAGACGACATATCGCCGGTTCATGCAGAGCGGGCACACGTCTGCGGGGCCGCATCAAGGCATGATGACGGGGGTGGAGGGAGAGGAGGGGTGAATCACGCGCCAGCACCCGCAACCGCACTCACCAACGGGGGACAGCTGTCCCCCCCCTGGGACCCGTCACCCCCAGCCCCAGTGACTCCGGTCAAGGAGCGGCCTCAGACCGGAGCAACCTCTCTGAGGCCTAGATCCTGGATTGAGTCACCCCCAGCCCCCTGGTGCCAGCCGTGAAAACCCACCGTAATGACTCAGCTTGGCCGCCCAGTCCACGCGCCCCTCGCCGTTGCACAGCCGGCAGCGCGTCACCCCAAAGCCGCGGCAGGTGCGGCAGCTCTTGACCTTCCGCACCAGCGCGCCGCGCACCGCCGCCACCATCGCCGCGACGAGCGTCAGCAGGAACAGCAGCAGGGAGATGGGGCCGCCGCCGGCGCGGCGCTGCGTGAGGGCGTTTCGAAAGTAGTAGCTGTTCTGCCCGGTCAGCAGCAGCCGTGTGAGCGCGGCAAACGGCGGGGGCGGCGCGGATGGGGCGCCGTGGCGGCGACGGGCTTGCGCGGCCTCGCGGGCGGCGGTGATCGCGGCCTCAGGGGAGGCCGCCTGCCGCTGTTGCTGGTGCTGTTGCTGCTGCTGATGGTGCTGCAGCTGCCGCTGCGCGCCGCCTAGGACAATGAGGGGTCGTCCAGACGTGGACGCAGCGCTGGCGTCGTGGCTGGCACAGCTGCAGCCATGAGCGCTGCAACCCGCGGCTGCTATGGGGCCAGCGGCGGCGGCAGCGCGCCGCCGCCGGTGCGCAAGCGGCGCAAGAACAGCGGGGGGCAGCGAGGCGGAGCGTGCGGCAGCGCCGCCCCGAAGCCCCTGGGGGCGACGATTGGACGCGCAGAGTTCCTGCATTGGTCTGAGCGAAACGCCGGATTGGGCGCGAGGGGGCCCGAGGGTTGGGGTCTAAGCAGTCAGGGCCGGGTGGCCTGCACCAAGGGGCAGGGTGACATGCGGCAGGGGCCGCGAGGCCAAGCGAGTCGGCGACGGCTTCGTGGCGCGCAATCTTGGCCTGGCGAGGTCTACCCAAGCCAGGCGGGGCCGCAATCCGCACTAAGCAATTCAAGGTGACGCTGGCATGCCGCGGCGTCGACGAACAAGGGTTCCTTTTCGGACAGCAGCGCCAGTGGCAGCGAGCGTACTTGACGTGCCGTTGTGCACCAGCAGTGACATTGCTCACCTGCCAGTTGATCAAGGGTTCAAACCGCAATCAAAGGGAGGTTAAGGCCTCCTGAAGTGCGACCTGGGACGTGGTCGAACTGCCGCGTCTCTAGGACGCGGGGATGCTGTAATATGCGGCGCTGGTAATGAGTTACTGTATTTGATGTTGTGAATGGAGCCGTGTGACTGGTAGGGCATGCAAGACTTGCATGATTTGAGTGAGGTGAGGGACACAGGGCTTCCCTCCAGCTGCTAGGGCTCGTCAGCCTGCAGGCCCGCCTGCCCTGCCGCTGATCGAGACCGCAATGGGGAGGGCGACTTTTGCCAAATATCTTTTCTCGCGCGCCGATCGGTCCAGTTCCAGATCGTTTCAGCAGCTTGCAGCAACGTTCAGCAGTGCTCGCAGGACGAAAGAGGCCACTAGATCGGAGGTCTGAATAGCATACGTCAGATCAGGTGCGTGGAAGGCACTTCGGCGCGGACGCCGAAGGGGAGTGCGTGCCCCCCTGCTGCTGGCGCGCTCGGCCGACGTGGATAGGGCTTTGGCAAGCCGGGAGCGGCAGGGACTGGATTCCGCCCAAATCCCCTTCATCAGCGATCACATCCCAGCGGCAGCAAAGCGACTCGCTCCCCATAGAGCTCGGCGCCGGGCGTGAACAAGGACTGCTAGCGCACTCGCGCCCTCCCGCTCAGGGAACGCACACCCCGCTCATTCCGCCGCACGACCCCGCGCGACGCGCACGCATCAACCGACCCCCACCCCCAGGCCGCGCCCCGCGCCCATCCGCCCCGGCCGCCGCCGCCGCCCCCGGCGCGGCCGGACACGAGGCGGGAGGCGGTCCCCCCCC